AGAATTGTAGGATCAAAGAGTCGGGATTTTATGGGTCTTTTGACAAACAGTCCTATGTTGCCCTCTAGAAAGATTATAACAATTTACATGTACACCAGTGGTAAATGAGAGTCATATAGTTGCTATCACTGAGATTTTTTAACTTGGCTGATCTCATAAGCAAAAAAATTTTGGGTCATTGTTCTTTTACTTTGCACCTTTTAAATTTGAACAAGTTTTTGTTTTGGTTTAGTTTGGTTTTTGGTCATTTGTAGTTGCTCAGGAATTGCCTGTTCTTATTTTTTGCCTTTTTATTAACGTATGTACACTTTTTAGTTGATTTATATGAACTCTTTTTGTGATAAAGATATTGACCCATTGTCTATCATAGATACTGTGATTACTTTGCTTAGGTGCTCATTTGTCTTTCAATACTATTAATGGTGGTGGTGGTGTGTTTGTTTTTTTTTATTTCTCCAAATTTTCTAAAGAAGATATACCTTCACACCTAGTGATAATAATGATTTTAAAAGTGCCTGATATTATCATACACGCTACATGGGGAAAAAAAAAAAAAAACCTGGGGGAAAGGTTGCCCTGGGTGATGCTCTTTGTAGTTTTCTGTACTTCCCAGATTTACTAAGATGAGTAACTCTTATAATCTTCAAAACTATCCTAAAGTATGTTTTTATCTTTTTAAGTGCAGAGAAACTTGTGTGGTCTATGTAAGTGGAATGCCAGAAGCAAGAGAGAGGATGGGAAGGAAGGGAGGTGAAGGGTGAAGTTAAAAATGAAAATGACAACCAGACCAGCCAAAGCTTTGGATTCCATGGCTCCATGTCTCAATTGCAGTCTGTAGTTGAAGGCTTTTAGGCAGAAGAGTGCTATGATAAGATCTCTATTTCAGGAGAGCTTTGGTTACAATGGGAGAGATAAATTAGATCTGGGGGTTAAGAAGACACTGGTGATGGTATCAGTTGTTTATTGCTACAATAATGCTGTGTAACAAAGAACCACAGAACCTCAGTGATATATAACAGTGCTTATTGCTCACAGGTCCGGGGTCAGCTGGAGGCCAGCTATGCAGCCCTTCTGGTCTTGGCAAGGCTCATTCACACGCCTGGGAGTGGTTGCATATTGGCTGATCTAGACTGGCCTTGGCTTGTCCCATAGATGTTTTCATAGATGTTTGTATAGCTAACAGGCTTGGAAGATAGGGATGGTATTCCCTCCAGAGCAAAGAGCAAGAATGTTTATCATCTCTTACAAAAGATTCAAGTTCCCTAACCTTAGAGTTTTTCTCCTGTAATGGCATCCACTACGTGTGCAGGCATCCACCTGAGTTTATCCTCATCACCTTCATCAGACTTGGGGGGCAAAGGGAACTGATGTAAACATGCTCATGCTAATGTGGCTTGCTGTGCCACGAATGACAAAATCCTTTGCCTTTGACCCAGAAGTCACGTGTCTCTTGTCAGCATCCAGGAAACTGTGGCACATTAGTAGGGTAAAATCTCAGACGCTTCAGTGCTCTTTTTAAATTCTTCTTCTGTTTTATTGAAATATAATTGACATATAGCACTATATAAGTTGAAGGTATATAGCGTAATGACATACATATATTGCAAAATGATTACCACAGTAAGTTTAGTTAACATCTATTCCCTCATATGGTTTAAAAAAATTTTTTTTTTCTCTGTGGTGAGAACATTAAGGATCTACTCTCTTAGCAACTTTCTGATATACCATACGGTAGCATTAACTATAGTCATCATATTGTTTATTACATCCCCAGGATTTATTCATTTTATAACTGAAAGTTTGTACCTTTTGACCACTATCATCCAATTCCCCCAACCTCCACCCTCCATCTCTGGTAACCACAAATCTGATCTCATTTCCTAGGAGTTTGGCTTCTTGTTGCTGTTGTTTTAGATTATACCTATGAATGAGATCATACAGTATTTATCTCTCTCTGATGACTTAGTTCACTCAGCATAATGCCTTCAGGGTCTATTCTTGTTGTCAAGGAGGGCAGGATTTCCTTCTTTTTTATTGCTGAGCAGTGTTCTGTTATATATATACCACATTTGCTTTATCTATCTCACTCTCCACACTTCTGGACATCACTTGCTTCTCCCTCTTAATCGTTGGATACATGAGGACCTTCCATGGCCTTATTCCCAGCACTAGGCACAGGGCTTGTATTTAATTGGCATTCCAGAAATATTTGTCAAATGAATAAATTAATCATTTTTATTTACTCTTTATTTTCAATAAATAGACTTGAAAATACCATTATATGTGACATGGTCATCAGTCTTCTGTCATTGTTACTCCAAGTAAGCTTTTCTCTCTGGTACATAAGACAGTGGTATCACAGCATTGGGGTACTTGGGGGTATGGTAATTTTTAAAGTATTTGGGGATGGTGGCCAATGCAGGGCTTGTATCCAATGCAGTTATATATGGGCTCTTATGGGCGTTGTTTCCACTTTTCTGATATTCATTTACATATGAACTTGGAGTTCATTATGAAAATTTTTCCTCTAGACTTTAGAAGAAAACTTTTCATGTTTCTCTGTATATTTACTGGCTAGATTCCCAACTATATGTCCAACTGAGTGGGTAAGCCCAGAAGGAAGATGGGGCAAAATAAAAATAGGGAATCAACTGACTCAAAATGAGAGAAATGGATAAAGGTTAGGACAACTTGTCCATTCAACTGTTATTATGCAAGTTTTCTGCAGCTGTCTGCTCAGCTGCTGAAGTCTGGGTTAAAGTTCAAAAGGGAAAGCTCTATGCACACATATTTTTCAATGCAAAAAAATGTTCAAGTATTTGAAACTCAAATATTTCCATATATTCAAAGATCCAGTGGGGGTGCCTGGGTGGCTTAGTGGGTTAAGTGTCCAGCTTCGGCTCAGGTCATGATCTCACAGTACGTGAGTTCAAGCCCCCCCACCCAGCCGCTCTGCTGTCAGCGTGGAGCCCACTTCAGATCCTCTGTCCCCCTCTCTCTTTGCCCCTCCCCTGCTGTCTCTCTCTCTCTCAAAAATAAATAAACATTTAAAAAGTAAATAAATTAAAAGTCACCTAAAAGAAAAAAAGATCCCCAGTGATGAAATTTATTAAGGCTATATGCAGAGTAGAAGAAATTCAGCTCAGATCTCAACATCATCAATGTTTAAACTGTATTAATTTTGAGACTTCAACCCCAGCACCCTTCATAGAGCCTGTCTCCTCCCACTGACTCTGGTGACATTCTCTGGGCTAAATGTGAGTCATAACTTGTGACATTGTACAGACAACATCTGCAAGGTGGGGTGTTTCACTTCTCACTTTGGCTCATGTTTGCTTATGCTGATTGGAGTAGGGATAAGAGGAAGGCAAATGTGGGAAGAGAGTTCTCCTGATTTCATTCAAAAGGCTCTGGACCAAGAAATATTTAAAGATTTTTTTTTTTTTTAATGGAACACATGAAGCACTCTGGGTAGCTCAGTTGGTTGGATGTCCAAGTTCCGCTCAGGTCATGATCTCACAGTTTGTGGGTTTGAGCCGCACATCGGGATCTGTGCTGACTGCTCAGGGCCTGGACCCTGCCTCAGATTCTGTGTCTCCCTCTTTCTCTGACCCTCACCCGCTCGTTTTTTCTCTCTCTCTCTCTCTCTCTCAAAAATAAAAATAAGCATTAAACATTTTTTTAAATAAATAAAAAATAAATACAACATTGGGGCGCCTGGGTGACTCAGTCAGTTGGGCATCCAACTTCGGCTCAGGTCATAATTTTGTGGTTTGTGGGTTTGAGTCCTGCATCGGGCTCTGTGCTGAGAGCTCGGAGCCTGGAGCCTGCTTCAGGTTCTGTGTCTCCCTCTCTCTCTGCCCCTCCCCCACTTGTGCTCTGTCTCTTTCTGTCTCAAAAATTATAAACATTAAAAAATAAAATAAAATAAAATAAAATAAAATAAAATAAAATAAAATGGAACACATGAGAGTATTTGAGCTTCAATAAGTATAAAGCTGCACTGGATACTTAATGTCAAAGAGTTGTATACTTAAAAATGGTTAAAATGGTAAATTTTATGTTCTGTATACGTTACCACTAGTAAAAACATGTAATGGATCAAAACCCATAAAGTATGTTTACATTTTTAAATTCAGTGTGATACTTAAAAACTAACCACCTTGAAAGATGTCAGGGAACCAATTCATCGCCTGAAAACCGGTAAACAAAGGGAAAGAACCAAACATAATAGAAACCATACCACTCGATAACCAAATAGGACATCAGGGAAGCATCTCTTTATAAAATTATTGCAACTAATAAATGGAAATAAAATGATAGAATTACATTATCGCCATTTGCAAGTCTCAATGAGTTAATTGATTTAGGCAGTAAGAACCAACAGCTGCTAATGTTGCAAAAAGAGACACAACCATTATGTCTCTGCTGATGAAAGAATTCAGCACTGCGTAGAGTCTTGCAAAAGAAATGCAACCTAAGTCTGGTCAAACGTCTGGATCCGGCTATTTTCAAGAAAACCTGGGGACAGAATACATGTTGAAATGTATCACGAATGTGCCATCAGCAAAACTCAAACTGTAGGAAACTGTAGAGGCCAAATTGTCCATGTTCCTCAACAGGTCAATTATAAGGAAAAGAAAAGGCTGAAGAGAGAACCTGTAGATGAAAAGAGATTTAAAAGAGGAATCAATAATTTTTTCATATTTATTTTTTATTTGTTCAAGTTTTTATTTAATTCTAGTTAGTTAACACCTATGGCAAAATTGGTCGACTCAATAACGTTTGAAAGACCAAGCCTCAACTAGAGTGTCTGAGGTGCACACTTGTGTAACAAAGCCACAGAGAAGCATGACGAGATTATTACTGTAAAGGTCAGGGTTGTAGACATGAGGGTACTTCTGGAGTGGCTGGCAAAGTACTACTTCTTCACCTGGATGTGACCTTATATTAAGTCACTGTCCCATATAATTTTTTTGTGTGCTTTATTTTATAATAAGTATATATTTACGGGGAGTGTCCGGAGTGAACTGAAGTCATGCAGGAGTGCCATGCAGATGTGGCCAGCTGGTCAGAAAGAACGATGAAGAGAGAACCGGTGAGCAAAGGCCCCCTCCAGGCCAAACATCTGCCCAGCAACATGTGAGCAGGTGGAAACTGAATCGTACTCTTAATTTGCATCAAGACAGCATTTTGAATTCCTGGCAGAAATGGATGGGAAAGGGCTCAGAAGTTGTTTGGAGCAAACCATATTTTACTTCCTTGAGCAATTTAGTTCTCTGGGCAGCATAGCGCAGGCCAGCCAATGGCCAGCAAGAACTCGAATTGCACCTTCAGCATTGTGCAGTGTGAGGTGTGTGAGTAAGAAAGTACTCACTTTGGAGGTGCCCGGGTGGCTCAGTCGGTTGAGCAGCTGACTTCAGCTCAGGGCATGATCTCACAGCTCATGAGTTCAAGCCCTGCGTTGGGCTCTGTGCTGACAGCTCAGAGCCTGGAGCCTGCTTCGGATTCTCCATCTCCCTGTCTCTCTGCCCCTCCCCTGCTCACGCTCTGTCTCTCTCACTCTCAAAAATAAATAAACATTAAAAAATTAAAAAAAAAGGAAAGTACTCACTTTGAATACTTTGAATTTAGAGACCCCATTTTATTACAGAGAAATGCTGTAACATCCTTATCAGCAATGCATAAGGCTGCAGCTAGCTCTTTTTCCACCAAGAAATCTGGAGAAGATAAACAAATAAATATATTTTAAAAATAAAATCATAATAGGAAATTGATTAACTCTTTAAAAAAGGAAGAAAGAAATCTGGAGAAGGTAAGGAGCTTATTATTACATAGATGATACCAGAAAGCCCAATTGTAAGTCCCCAAGGGGAAGGCAGCATAAAATGTCAGAGCAGAGGGGCACCTGGGTGGCTCAGTTGGTTAAGTGTCCGACTTTGGCTCAGGTCATGATCTCCCCGTGCATGAGTTGTAGCCCCGCGTCAGGCTCTGTGCTGACAGCTCAGAGCCTGGAGCCTGCTTCGGATTCTGTGTCTCCCTCTCTCTCTGCCCCTCCTCCGCTCATGCTCGCTCTCTCTCTCTCTCTCTCTCTCTCTCTCTCTCTCAAATATAAATAAACATTTAAAAAAATGTCAGAGCAAGAAAAACAATATATTCTCCCGAAGATTGTATTAACCATGTGATACCAACAAACACCTCTTAGAATCCTAAAATCCTCAAATCTGACAATTCAGGTTGCTGGTGAGGATGTGAAACAACAGAAATTCTCATTCATGGCTGGTGAGAATGCAAAAATGATACAGCTGCTTTGGAATACCATTCGGCATAGTCTTCCCATACAAAATAGCAATTGTGCTCCTAGGTGTTTAACCACAGATTTGAAAATTATTTCCACACAGGGGCACCTGGGTGGCTCAGTTGGTTAAGCATCTGACTTCGGCTCAGGTCATGATCTCATGGTTTATGATTTTGAGCCCTACATCAGGCTCTATGCACACAGCTCAGAGCTTGGAGCCTACTTCAGATTCTGTGTCTCCCTCTCTCTGCCCTCCCCTGCTCATGCTCTGTATCTGTCTCTCTCTCTCTCTCTCAAAAATAGATAAACATTTAAAAAAATGTTTTAAAAAGAAAAGGAAAATTATTTCCACACAAAAAGCTGCATGCAAATGTTTATAGCAGCTTTATTTATAATCACCCAAATTTGGAAGAAACAAGATGTCCTTCAATAGGTGGACAGATAAGCAAAATGTGGTACATCCATGCAGTGGAATACCATTCAGTGATAAAAAGGAATGTGCTATCCAACGAGATGCAAAAAAATATAGATGAATCTTAAATGCCTGTCCCTAAATGGAAGGAGCTGAAAGGAGCCAGTCTGCAAAGGCTACATACTGTATAATGCCATTTATATAACATTCTGTAAAAGGCCAAACTGTAGAGACAGTAAACAGATCAGTGGTTGCCAGGGGTTTAAGGGTTTAAAGATGGGGGAGAGTTGAATAAGTGAAGCACAAGAGATTTTTAAGGCAGTGAAACTATTCTGTATGATACTATAATGGCAGGTACGTGATGTTATGCGTTTGTCAAAACCCACAGAACTTTACAGCATAAAGAGTGAGCACTAATGTACACAAATTTATTTTTTTTTAATGTTTATTTATTTTTGAGTTACAAAGAAAGCGTGCATGAGTGGGGAAGAGGCAGAGAAAGAGGGAGACACAGAATCCGAAGCAGGCTCTAGGCCTTGAGCTGTCAGCACAGAGCCCGACACAGGGCTTGAACCCATGAACTGTAAGATCATGACTTGAGCCAGAGTCAGATGTTCAACCGACTGAGCCCCTATTTTTTTTTAACTTTTATTTACTTGTTTTGAGAGAGAGAGAGAGAGAGATGCAGAAAGAGAGAGAGAGAATTCCAAGCAGGCTCTGCACTGTCAGCCCAGAGCCCGACTCAGGGCTTGATCCCATGAACTGTGAGATCATGACCTGAGCCAAAGTCAAGAGTCAGACGCTTAACTGACTGAGCCACCCAGGTGCCCCCACAAATTTCTTTTAAAAGTCATTTAGGAGGTTCAAGGATCCCAGGATGGAATACAGACTGTGACAAAAGCATCTAACTGCATGATGAATGTATGAAATAACTTCAGTGAAGAGAGTGGGGAGAAAAGAGGCTGAGCTAAACAACTTTGGAAATGAGTGGACTCATTTGTTGGACTGTAAGGCTAAAGTCCAACAAAACTGTACACAAGCACTACACTCTAGTGGGTAATGTGGTTTCCCGTGGGGGTACACATGAACGATTCTAATCGTATCTCCTGTACATGTATACTGGAAGTGAGGAATGAAGTAAATAGATGGCAGATTGTGGAAGCCAGGTTTCTCGCTATTTGAGTGGGAGGTTATAGACAAGCAAGGGAGGGAAGGCTAAAATGATCCCTGTGGTACTGGGTTAGAGTTGGACATACCAGTATGGAGACTTTATATTTAGTTTAATATGGATGTAGATGGATACATATAGAAATATTTATCGATAATGTAGGTATACACTGATGAGTATACACACATCTATTTCCTTGCTCCATCAGCTAAGAATGCTGAGAAACAATGATAGGTCAGTAGCTACAAGCATACCTGGTGGCCAGATCTTGGTTTCTAATACCATTTTCTAAAAAAGAGAAAGAAGGCAGGAAAGAAAAGAAAAAGAAACCCACGCCCTTTGAACAAATCTCTGATTCTACAGCTAAGGCAGGGAAGGTACAAAATGAGCCTAAAGCATCTCGTAGTGCCACAAAATAAAGTACAATATGTGGATTATAAGACAAATGTTTATGACTCCATGCTGATATAAATGCTTCAATAAATAAACAAATGAGGAAGAAGAGACAAACGTCCCTGTGCAGAATTCCAAATGATTTATATAGATACCTCACCCGCAAGTAGGTAGAGCATAACTCCCCCCTCCTTAAGTATGGGCTCTGCAAAATAATGTCCTTCCAGAGAGTACCGCATGGAAAGCAAGGAAAAAGGAGTAGCTTTGCAGCGGAGACACCTGACAAACTATCTCAGCCAGGTGATCGTGGCCAATACTGACAGTGATAAGTCATGTTGCTAGTGCGAACACTTGGTATGATGTGAGGAGAATGGCACTTTACCTCTGTGGTCTTCCTCCCCAAAACCTGTAACTCCAGTCTAATCATGAGAAAAATACCAGACAAATCTTCATTCAGGGACATGCTACAGAATACTTCACCAGTACTCCTTTAAACTGTCAAGATCATCCAAACCAAAGAAAGTCTAAGAGACTGTCACAACCCAAAAGGAGCCTGGGGACGCATGACTACTAAATGTAATGTGAGATCCTGGCTATATCCTGGTATAGAAAAAGGATATAAGGAAAAACTAAAAAAATATGAATGAAGTATGGACTTTGATTATTAATAAAGTGTTAATATTTGTTTATTAATTGTGACAAATGTGCCATTGCAATGTAAGGTGTTAACAATGGGGGAAACTAGGTGTGGGGTTTAAGGGAACCCTTTCCACTATCTTCACAACTTTTCTGTAAACCTGAAACTATTATAAAATAAAAGCCTTACTTAAATTGTAAAATGAAGATTGCATAATATACTCTACAGATTAAGGGACTAATGCATGAATCAATAATGATTGATTAATTCAAGTATTTAATGAACACCTGTTTTGTATGAGCACCTTTGTTGGCACTTGTAAGGGACCCTTATATAAGTTAAAATTTATCTCACCCCCCCCCCCAGGGAGCTTATAGAAATGCAGAGTTTAAGCATTCCATATGTTTGCTAAGTGATTTGCCTTTAATGCAATGATGGGAATTTTTATTTCACTGAGTCTAATAATTCCCCTTATCCTGTAGCAAGTGTTATAAGAGGGACTGCCTATGAAGCTCCTTTTGTTTTATTTTTATTTTACTTTTATTTTTTTAGGTTTTTATTTTTTATTTTGAGAGAGAGAGAGAGGGAGAGAGAGAGAGAATCCCAAGCAAGGTCTGCCCTGTCAGCACGGAGCCCAATGCAGGTCTCAAACTCACAAACTGCAAGACCGTGACCCAAGCTGAAATCGAGAGAGCCAGCCGCTTAATGGACCGAGCCACCCAGGCACCTCCCTCCTCTTGTTTTAAATGAGAGACTCATTTAATGTTGCAGTTTTCTTCATTTGTTAAATAAATTCATATCTTAGAATGTCAGAACTAGAAAGGCTCTTATATCAGACATTGTGGATGCCCTGTCCTTATTCCCTTGCCCCTACCTCATCAGTGTTCACAAGCCTGACTCCCAACTTCCATCACGTGTATTTCAAATAATTTAAAAAATTTTTTTTTTCAACGTTTATTTATTTTTGGGACAGAGAGAGACAGAGCATGAACGGGGGAGGAGCAGAGAGAGAGGAGACACAGAATCGGAAACAGGCTCCAGGCTCTGAGCCATCAGCCCAGAGCCTGATGCGGGGCTCGAACTCACGGACCGCGAGATCGTGACCTGGCTGAAGTCGGACGCTTAACCGACTGCGCCACCCAGGCGCCCCTCAAATAATTTTAAATATGTAGTGTTGACTATACCTCTCT